CTGGCTGTCACTCGAATCTATGGCTCGAATTCCGCTTTAAAAAAATTCTTTCTTTTCTCATGGACTCTCGTGTATCTAAATTCAACTTTGAACCCTGTCATTTACTGTTGGAAGATGAGACAAACTCGACATGCTATCATAGACATACTGTGGAAGATATATCAGAGAAGAAATCAGCCATCTCGCGTAATTTACAATCGGCCATCGAGCGTGGTCCGTGTTGATAACTGATCTACTCTGTGTGGCTTACAAGGACTATACGCAGTTTATAAATTTACGACAAAGTAAATAGGGAAAAAGAAGATTAAACATAAACTTAGTAATGTGATCCGTCAGCCAAATAATTGCGCAGCTCCGAATTTAACACCACAACATATCAAATTGTTGCAACTGGATAGAAAAAGGGTACTTTGAACAAGGAAGCTGGTTTTTTTATCGATGGAGCGTTAAATTGTAATTACAGATGGCAATAAAAGAAGTATAGCAGACATGATATTATTCGGCATACCGACGTTTTCGTAGCTCTAAATTTAAAATCAAGACTAAAATAAGATAAGAGTGGATGTGGACCTAAGCTTCTAGTAGGGGGTTTCTTTTATCCATTGAAAAGTTTGTCCATGACTGCGAAATGATTCGCCAACTCTCTTAGGACTACCACTGACAACTGAATGAGGTGCCAGCTTGGAATAAAAACGAAGGAAATTTGAGCCATCCATCTTTCTACCTCAAAGACAGAATTACGAACGTACGCCGTAATAGGGGAGAAGAAACACTTCTTGCTCTTAATGTAAAGTCAACTCCTTGACTCCCCTTCATGTGCAGTTTTAAGAAACTTTCAAGCAAGCAGGTAACGAGAATGACAAAGATAATCAATTAGAGATCATGGTGTAGATTGCAAGACTCTCGGGGCCGAACAACAAATTTAAGATATAACTGAAGGGAATAAACCTCCAGGTCTCAGACCAGTTCATTGGAAGTTAAAAAGTTAAATGATCCTACGACTTAAACAGTATAGCGTCACATTAAGAGCGGAGGAAAGAAAAGCAACCAGGAGCTAGTACTTTTTAAGAAGGAGAAAAAATTGATGTTAGTCATTGGCTGTTGGGTGGATTGCAAAAATTAAAAAAAAAAGGATTGATTGATACTCTCGAGAACTAAACATTCAGCGAAAACATTTCCTATGCCTTTACACTTTTGAGATAAAAACTACGTCGATTCAAAAGGCTGCATATGAAAACGAAAACAGAGGCAGCTTTAGAGTTATTGTCTAGTTCGCAGATGTTTTCTGGTGGTTCTAGATAATACCTGACCGGGAACTTTTGAGAGGTTAAAATTAAGCATGTTTTCGTAGTTATCTCTTTTCGCTTAGGTTTCGTGATTTCCAATTTCTGGACGAAAGAGAGGATCTAGAACTTAAAAAGTGTCAGAATATTAATCTCGTCAAGTGCTTAAAATTTTATTTTGACAGATAATCGACAGCTCAAATTTCAGGCATATCTATGAGATTAGGTGGCGATTTAAAAAATCTCGGAGAATATTTGTAACAGGGTCGATTCCTGCGGGTTTTCAGGGGTGACGGGGGGGGGATTAGACGTCGCCAACAGACTAACCCCCTTTCAGGTGTTAAAAAATGACAGGCCCTTTAGGAAGATAAATATAAGATCAGGTAATTTACTCCTGACAGAAAAACTAATTTGGGAATAACGATAAGTAAGGTGTACAGAAATCGATAATAAGAATGATATCTTAAGTTCCATGGCGTATTATCTGTTAAGATAACTAAACCAAACATTTTTCACTATTCAGAGTGCATTATTATCATCTTAAAGACTTTCTCCTGTTTCATTTATTTTTTTAATGAACCTAGCTAGCTGTCACTCTCGAATGAACGAAAGCAACTTAATGAGCTTAATGTCTTTGTCTTTATTCATTGACTCCCATGTTTCTTAATTCATCTTTGAACCCTATCATTTGCCGCCGGTAGATTAGACGAATTCGACACGCTATCATGGACATATATTGGGGAACATTTCTTAGAGAAGAAATCAGCCATGTCGAATAATTTACACTGAATACCTGTGTGCAATGACTGTCTAAGTTGTAAACCGCTTAATCAGCTGAACAGCAATCTAATTATGAAAGCGACGACAGAGGTGGCAGAAGTTCAACTTTTAAGAAATTAGACCAGAGGTCTCTGTACATGGTGTACGCCTGAGCAAAGACGGAGAAATTTTAAACCCTTTTTAGAAGGATGAGTTTTTGGTTATTTCCTCTATTCGCTCAGCCAGACAAGGGTAAACTCGGGCTTTCGAGAATTTAATGTCGCGAAAATGGTATGGACATTTTTCATGGGACTTTAATTTCGCGATTTTGACTAAAGAGTATTCAATAAAAGGGACTAAATTACGTGAAAATTGCCAAAATACTTGTCAACACGAACAGAGAAATAATTCATATGTATAAACAGCTTATCGTCACGAGTTACAAGGATCCATTACCTTCCTCCTGGTTAATTTCAGCAAAAAACTATTTTACGGTGTTTCTGATTTCGCAATTTTTGACACTCGCGAAAATCGCAACAATCAACTCCCACGAATATAAGTAAAAATTATCGTATCTTTACTGCAACACTCTTTTATTGTCTAAATTTCGATTTAAACTCATGAAAATACTATTGAATATCTTGACAGCCCCTGTATGTTAATTTCTCTACGGTTGTATGGTGCATCTGTTTCTTTGATGATAATGTAGAGGTAGTAAGTATACGAGATCTTACTATTTTAAATTCTGCATCTTTCACTTTCAACAACATTTCGGATAAACTACAATCGATCATCGAGTGTCGTCCATGTTGATAACTGATCCACGACTCTGTGTGAGTGCGGTTTGTTGATGACAGAGTAAATGGGGACAGAGAAGATTGAACCAAAGGTTGAGGAAAATTGATGTTAATCATCGGCTATTGAGTGGACTGAAAACGACAATATATTGTTTGATATACTTGAAAACTAAAAAAACAACGACGATTTACCTTTACACTCTAAACTTAGTCGAAGCGGAAAGCTGCATATGAAAACAGAGGAGGCTTTAGAGCTAGCGATTAACCCGCTAATGTTTGCAGGTGATTCTACAAAATACCCAGCCAGAAATTTTTGAGAACTTAAAATAAAGTACATTTTCCATATTGTCTCCTTTCGCTTAGACGCAAATACCAGATAGGCTTTCGAATGATTTTCACAATTCTTTCCAAATTCTAGACGAAATGATAAGTCAAGGATGTGCCATGAAGAAATTAAAATGGGCTGGTATGAAAGGTGTTTACAATTTCATTTTGATGGGCTTAAATTTCGGGTATATCTATGATGATTATGCGTCGATTTTAAAATGTATTTTAAAATCTTGGTGAACACTGTAACAGGTTCAACTCCTCCTGAATTCAGAGAACTGAGTTGTTTGAAAACCGATGTTATTAAAAGTTTAATTACGTCTTAATGGAGTCTGAAATTAAGGATATTTAGTGTTGTGTTGGCTTTACTTAACTTTGCCCTGTGATTGTTCCAGAAAACTCGTTCCATCATTCAATCAATAAACTGCAAACTAAAAAAAATATCGTGGCTTGATCGTCCGCGTTCAACCGCGCTTTAGCCGTTTGCTTTCTTCACTTTTAGTCCTCACTGGGTAATGATAATAACACCGTTGTTCTGATTGGTTGCTGGCATTATTTTGGCCATGGT